TAATATTTTTTTTTGCTCCCAGATTTAGTGTCCTCTGCAATGATCTACAGCTAAACAACAGATAGTTTAAGACATTTTTCCAAGAAAACAATTGCAGTTGCAGCAGAAAATTCATGCTTGTGGAAGGACCATGACCGAAGTTAATGGCAAGAGTTAAAACAGGAACAGTCTTGGGACACACAGGGCAAGAATCATTCATCACTTAACCACCACATTAAGTATTGGCAAAAGACAGACTATTAGCAAGGAAATTAACAAAAACAGTTAAGTCTCAATGACAGATAAGTTTTTTGACACATACCATCATAAGAGGCAACCTTCCAGTTTTCTTTCTTTATTGTTTGGACTGTCAGAGAAAACACCCAAGGGATGTTTCTCTACATGTCTTTGCCTTAAAAGAAGGTCATAATGTACAGCCAATAATGTGACTCAGCCGTCTCAAAATTTCAGGAAGCTTTATAGTAAGTCTTAGTCAATTCAATAAGTCTCCTGTATTTGACAAACATGCTTTGTGGTTCACAATCCTCAAAAGGTACATTTGCAAGCTTTTCTTTAAATCAGAAGCTCTAAGCAGAACTGTGAAAGTTTTTCTACGTGAAAATCCATTAAGTTAAAGTAATTATGTTAACGGTAGACAAAAAAAAAAAAAATCAAACAAAAAACAATCTTTGAGGTGTATCTAGCCTTCTACTGGTAAAAAAGCAGCGGGGCATGAAGCAAGATCGCTGAACCTTAAGTTCTATTTTTGACCCAACTGTTCTTAAACTAGACTGAAGTAGTCATTTACTTCTGTTGCTGCAAATTAGCAACATGCCAGAGAGGTGAAAGCTCCACCAGTACTCCATTGTTCTCTCCCCTTCAATTTCACAAGGATAAACTGGTTTCTTTGAACTTAGTTTTGCCATTTCTAGAGTTTGGGTATTTGAGCATAGGTTTTCAAAAAATTACTATAAACATTCCCAACCAGTGTGCTTAGCAGGCATAACTGACCATGAGCTTCTATTCCCCACTTTACCGGCTTTAAGAAAATAATGCTTTGAGAACAAGTGATGATGTCCACTGTCCCACACTTGTTTGAAATACGTAGGCTTCTTAGACTGCCTTTCACAAGAATTTGTGTCCAGAATTAACTAGAAAAATGCTTTTCTAGAATTGAAATGTAAATGTATGCTATATAAAAGAAAACAACATACTAGTTGCAAAACCATTAAGTAGTACTTAAGCTGAGAAGACAGATCCAGAATTACATAAACTGTACTCCGTCCGCTGCATTTCCATTTGACCACAAGTTAACTTTCAGGTTTTTAAAAAAAAAAGACATTTTTATTTTTTAACAGTTTAATTCCACTACCCGCCAGCTGGGCTTGGGTTTGTGTAGGTTTTTTTGTTTTGTTTTTTACTCCTATAGAATTAGCTGAAAAAAAAAAACAACACACAAAACCAAAAACAAACAAACAAAAAAAAAAAAAAAAAACAAAAAAAAAAACAAACACACACACCTCCCCCACCCCCGCACACACACAGGAAAAAACAGTTAATAGTTCAGACTATTATTCTATTATTTCTGGTTCATTTAACACTATTCAGAAATAGATTTATAGAATAAATTCAATTAGGAAGCTCTGGAGGTTATCTTAACCAACCTTGTACTCAAAACAATTCACATACATGTCCAAATAAATATCAAGAGAAGCAGATCTATTTTCTCTCTCCACTGCTCACATTTGGATTAGGGTACTACAAAGAGAAACTTGTAATAGAATTCTTTGCCATGACACATTCAACTTAAAGGGCAAAAGAAAATTCCCATCCAGTTTTAGCGTAAATATTTTTGTGGCCTCTTCTAGCCATAGCTACAACGGTAGACAGGCATCATCACTCTGAGCAGCTGGATGTCTGGCTTTTTAAAAAGATGAGACAAAACTCCCACAAGCATGGAATGCAATGCATAAGAAGCTGCAAAAACCCAACAAACCCTACTTTCGCTTACACTACAAGCCACAAGTCTGCTTCTTCAGTTAGCCAAAGTACAAACTCTTATTCTTTCCCTAATGCTCACCCTCTAACTCAAACACAAAAAATGCACAACCCATTTTTTCCACAACTGTGAGATTTACCAGATTTCACACATCTTTCAGTAATTACAAAACAGTAATAGGACAAAACTTAGTTTTATAATGGTATTTTAAGATTAAACTGGAAAGACTGATTTTGCAGCACTATTTCTGCTCCTGTTAGAAAAATCAGTTTCCTCATCAGTATCAAAGTTTAAAAAAAAAAACCCAACCCCTTAGATTCCCCTCACCCAACCACAACATTTTTCAAATGCCCTATTAACTACAGCCTTTGTTAGCCTTCATTAATGTACACAACTAAACAAAGCAAGCATACATATGATACGCATCTACAAGATGCTAGTACTTCTTGTATGATTTGGAATTAGCGTATCAACATCCTAGTTTACTTTCTCCTAAAACAGGCAATAAAAGCAATAGCAACAGTTTTCTATTGGGAAGTGACTGATATCTGAAAAGTGTTTGGATATCTGAGTACTCCCGGTACCCAGAGAATCTGCACCAGAAGACTAGAAGACTACATAATGAATGAACTTTTTAATGTACAGAATTTTTAAGAAAGCAGTTTTTGCAGACTAAATGTCAGCTTTAGGTTTCTTGTCTAACAATTTATAGAAAACTTTAATTTCTTTCCCAGTTAAAACTATGATGATCAAGGCTGTTCAAACTTGTGTTATACATGACTAAGCCATTAAAAAGCATGCTACACATGTGAATCTGAGGAACAACTGTTATCGGGAAATGCATTCTCTATACAACACCACCTTTTAAAGGTGTTATTTTCTTCCAATAACTAGAAACGCCTTATGATATACTTGGTCTTGTGAGATGGCATGATGGTAAAGCATGAAACCCTTGCTTGCTGCAGACGTTCCTATTCTAAAGCCTCCAGCAACTTTTTTTAAAAGTGAGTTAATCAGGAAGAGGTATCCCCTATTTGCTTTCAGAAAGCAGGAATAGCTTGATTGTCAGAGACACAGTTAACTAAGTATTGAACTACTTTACGACTTCCAATGAAGCACAATTGCTTTGTAAACAGCTCAGCTACACCACCTTTCCCAAAGAATACTCCAGAAAAACAGAACACTCAATGTCGTTATTCAAGCGAGTGAGTAGCAACAAGAAGCAAAACGAATTTGCCATTAACACAGAATGACAATTTGCAGCAGTCGAACAACTAAAACACCTTGGCATAGATTTGTAGGCTGGGTCTAGTGTGCTTTGAAAAAAAAAAAAAAAAACAGGAAACACCATCTCCAGGTTGTTAAGAATGGCATCAAGTTAACACCTATGAAATGCAGAGCATCTGCCCCAGTCAAATTTCAACTGCAGCTCTGAAGTTGTGGTATTTATTGTCTTCATGGAAAAGCAGAATGTTTCATAGATCCCATAAGGAATTGTGTGGCTTCATAAATTCCTCTGTAAACACTATGAGCTTGCTTGATCTGTGGTTTGTCTACGTGATGACACTGGCTAAAAAATGCTTCCAACTAACTACTATGGAAAAGTTTGCCAATGTTATTGTTTGAGAATGTAGTTATTTATTGTGAAACTTTAAGTTCACATGGGGCTTTACTTCAGAACAGCTTATCCAGTCAGTGCCCCACAGCAGACAAGCCATTAAATCCCATCATCCCAAACACTGGAATATTCCTAGGAACTAATGATGTTTATGCGCAAGAGGTAGACTTTGATTATTACTTCACTATAGAAGTGCAACATGGAAACAACTGAAGAAACAAGTATGAGAACAACTCTGTAAATTAATTGTGAGGTGGAAGAAATTAAAGAATGATTCAAATCATAATGGGAAGGTTTCTGAGCTCACCTAGTGTGATGAATTCGAAAGCCTGCTACAGCTCAAAGAGGGGATGTGAGAGTATATGTAACTAACAGAACAGAGTCCAGATTTCTTCTAACAAGTACTACAAAATCCAGATTCAGAATCCAGTTTACCACTCTTTTACAAGTTTGCTGCAGAATGCTCATAACTGCAGAATTAATTCAAGTAAAGCTTTATAGTCGATCCTGTCTACTACTAAACATCTACCTTCCTTATGCTTGTTCTAAACATGCACTGTTTATAAAGTAACCTCGGTTCACTTTAAAGTCAAAAAGAATAGACTTACAGGAAAAAAACTTAGAGAGACATAGCAGTAACAGCAGCAGAACTAATAGGTCTGATACGTTAATAACTTCAGGAATACTAATAACAACAACAAAACCCCCAAAGAAGAAGGAACATGCAGTTTGTATTAGTTTAAGCAAGGTTTTGTTAACGTTCAGTCTACTGGAAAACACACAAGTACTTGTAAGAAACAGCAGTTCTATATTTAACATCAATAAAAACAGATCTCTGGAGAGTAGGGAATAAGAAATAAGTTTTTTTACAGGTAGCATTGGTGTGACGTTGCTACTGTAAATCGACTGCAGCTGGAAACGGGAGATTGCACGCCACCGATTCACGCACACACCCAGTCGGAAGAGGCTCCGCTCCCAGCATCACTAACCGGCCCGACGGCGAGCCTACATACGCTCCATCACAAGAACTCCTGAAAGATATTCATACAAAATCTCTGTACGTATGCAGGGGAGCCACACTCGAAACCAACGCGACACTACGTTTTTTCCTCTCCCTCGTCCCTACGAGGGGAGAATCACCACGCCGCGTCTGGCGGAGGAACGCCCTGGAGCTCTCCCAGGCGAGGGAAGCCCGGCCGCAGCGCCCCGGCCCCCCTCAGCCAGCCGAGGGTCTCGCCTCTCCCTCCGGCTGCCGACGAGGAACAATCCGCCTCAGAAAGCGGCGCGGCGCTCCCCTTCGCCACCGCCCGGCCACCACGGCGGGACGACCCCGGAGAGCGCTGCCGTAGGGCGGGAGAAGTGTCCGTGTGTCCAGCCCCCCCCCCCCCCAACCCCCTCACTCACCTTCCAGCCGCGGCCTCCCGTCTCCAAGAGCCGGCCCGCGGCCGCCGCCCACGACGGGCAGCGCCCCAGTAGCGCTCGCAACCCCTCAGAGCCGCCCTTACAGCCGCCGCCGCACCCCGTTAGGCGGGCTGGCGGGAGGGCGACCCTCCTCCTCCTCCTCGCTGTCGTCGTTGTTGTTGTTGTCGTTGTTGTTGTCGTCGTCCTCCTCCTCCCCCCACCGGGGCGCTGGCGGGAGCGGCGCCGGCAGCCGCCCCCCCGCCCACAACCCTCCCGCCCAGCCGCCTCCCGCACGGGCAATAACAGGAAAGGGGGCGGCGCCCTGACCCCGGATGGGGATGGCACCGCACGCCGGAAGGGGAACCGGGGAGGGAGGGGGAGGAGGAGGAGGAGGAGGAGCGGCGGCGGCGGCGGCGGGGATCGCCGTGGCGGGGGGGGAGGGGGACTGCGGTGCCTGGGAGGTTTAAAAGCGAAGAGAGAGACCACCCTAAACCCACAGGCCCCGGGGGTGTGAAGTGAGGGCACCGGGCTGGTGTGGTTGGGTGGGAGCCGCACAACGAGCGAGAGTCGCTGGGAGGCGGGGGGGGGGTGTGTGTGTGTGACCTGGGTTGGCGGGTCGCTGCCGTAAATTTGGGGTGGTGGTTTCAGTTCGCAGTGACCTCGGCGCGTTCCTGTGCCGGGGAAAAGGGTGAAAAGCGGCGGAAGGCAGTGTGCTTCGAAAGAGAGGGACCCACGCTGCCGGCCCGCCTGACTCTGGGGGGAGGGAACGCGCTTGGGCTGCGAGCAGCAGCAATGCGTTGAAGATGTTTTTATATGCAAATCCAGGTTAATTGCAGTCTTTGCTGTCAAAAAGCAAAAGTGCCAGAGGGGAAAAAAAAAAAAAATTATACATATGGTATACTGAAGGCACGGACCCCAGCGCTTGAGAGTACCGAAATCGTTTACAGTGTGATTTTATGCTTTCCAAAGGGGAGGCCTCTTCTTTCCTCCAATGGTGCCCTGTTCCCATGTGAAAATAGAGTTCTGCTAAGAGTCTTTTGCCGCTGGCATCCAAAAGGCTGAGCTAAATCGTTATGTTCCGAATGAGGTGGTTTTTGTTCCCAGGACTCCCTCAATGGGTTCCCTTTCACAGGTGCTAATCTGTGTAGTTCGTTTTAACGCGTAGTTGCCCTTTGTGGTTGTTTTGTACTGCGGAGTCTCACGCCGCCACTTCCTCTGCAGTCAACACGTTTTTTCATCTTCCACATATCCAACCTTGTGTAAACCCACAATTTGGGATTGGACATTTGGACCAACTTTTCAACCTGTGTTTTAGCCCGTAATGCAAAAAAAAAAAAAAAAAAAAAAAAAAAAACGCGTTTCCGTGAGATTATTTCAAAAGAAGCCAGCTCTGCAGAGCCAGCAGCTACCGGGGACCGGGGGAAAAACGAGGGCGGCGCGGCAGGGCCCCCCGTAAGCTCAAACCCCCGCTGTAACGCGAGTGAGGCGGCGGCTGATTTCACGGGAGCGCGCTTCCGGGCTCTTCACCCGCGGCTCCCGGCGAGGCACGGGGGCAATAAACCTACCTGGCAACGCCGGTGAGCGGGCGGCGAGGCCCGACAGCCACCCCGACACCCCGTAACCGGCGCTGCCCGGCGCCGCGTTGCCCGCCCGGCCGCGCTGGCCACGCCTCTCCCGGGGCAGGCCACGCCCACCCAGCATCACACCACGCCTGTCCCGCGCTGACCACGCCCGTCCCGGCGCGGGCCCCGCCCCCGCGCAGGCCCCGCCCCGCCGCGCTGCGGTCACTTCCTGCAGCTGGCGCCGGCGGTGCCCGGCGGTCCTGGCCCTCCCGCGGCCTCGGGCACCGGCTGAAGTTGTGCGGGGCGGGGGGGGGGGGACACGCAGGACAGCGGTAGCCGTGGGGGCCGGGGCCGCCGCTCGCAGTCTCCGCCGGCGTGGTAGGTGCCGCGGAGGGGGTGGGGGACGCGGCGCTGGCCCCGCAGGGGGATGGGGGACGCCGGATTTTCGGCAGGGTCGGGGGCTGGCTTTGCCTGTCGGTACGGGACTGGGGCGGGGGGGGGGGTCGCAATGATTCTGCCGTGTTCGGGGGTGACTTTGGTGACGCGGATATCTGTATCTGCTTCTCCTTGATGTTGGTTTTGTTTCTGCGTCTCCAAAACCGTGTTGGTGCCTTGAATTCTTGCTCAGGTCCAGTTATTCCGAGGTAGTAGATACCAGATGGGGGGGGTTGGTATTTTTTTGCTTTAGTTTGTTCTTTTGTTTGTTTGTGTTGGGTTTTTTTTGGTTGTTGTTTTTTGGTTTGGGGGGTTTTGTTTTTTGGTTTTGTTTTTTTTTTTTTTTCCCCTCTTAGACTCCATCACCGAGACTGCAAGGCATGCAACTTTGCAGAAATGCCTGCTAGGATGTCAGTGGTTTCTGATACTCTGTTGATGTAAGAGATGGTAAATTCCCTCTGTTTCTGTGTTACTAAATATGTATCCTCATCATCAGAGGGTTAGTAGGCCCTGCATCTTAAGGTGGGGATGTGTACAATGCATGTTTGGTTTATCACTCTGTCTTCAATCCTGCAGCATTATAAAATGACCTAGCCTATGGCCACAGGTAAACTTTCTGGCAAAGTAATGTCAATGTTTTGAGATACAAATGGACTTGAGAAGAAATACTTCCTGTCTTGAAGAAGAAAATTAAACCCGTAACTCATTCATCATTTGTATAGATTTCTATCACTGTCATTATTTGCCTCAACTGCATTTGAAAACCAATTCTAGTGGGAACATGTGACACATAAGTTTCTCACAGTGGTTTACACTTATGGCCAAGGAAGGTCATGTTGTGTTGGTGCCTTCCCCAGCAAACGGTGCTCAGATTTGAGGCCATACCAGTTCCTTTCCCAGAACTGTGCTGCGGAGGTTGCTCCCTGTTATCTGTGCCACCGTCAGTGCCTGAGCACTGGTTGGTACCCAGGCTGTGGTACTTGGGGGATGGAGGCTGGGTCTCCTCCTTCAGTGCGGCCTTTGGGATGCCCTGACCTGCAAGTAGTGAGGAGGGCAGCGTGCCTGTCTCCCTTGCACCCACATGAGGACAACAGGCACAGGGTGGAAGTATATCCTAGCCCATATGGTGTGGAGGAGGATCCGTGGCTGAGATCTGAGATGCTGTCTTGAGGCAGAATGTCTCCTCAGCTCACCCTGAAAAGCTGCAGGTCCTTACCCTGCTGCGGGCTGTGCTGTTGTGAGTCCTTGGTGATGGAGATTCCTCATTCCTTTGCTGTTTGTGGTGTAAAGGCTTTGCAGCTTCTCCAGTGAAGGAAAAAGTCAAAGATGTCCTGTTACTTTGTCTTGGACAGAGAATCTGTAGTGACCAGCAGTGGCAGGTTAAAGGGACATGTAAATAAGCTTAATTTGAGAGATTATTTTTTTTTCTTATAAATAATATCTGTAAGAAGGAAACTGACGTAATTTGAGCAATTTCAGTGATGAGAGATCACCATCAGAAGAAAATCAGTTGCATATGTCAAGTCAAGAAGTTCTAATTTTAAAATTGCCCACACAGCCTTAATTTTATCTTCAGACTACTGTTCAATTTAAGAAACAGTATATGACCTTACAATTAAAGATTTACTAAGACTATCACGTTATTATTACCTTTTCTTCCATGGATGCAGAACTCATAAGCACTGTGTCCTGTCTTGTATATGGTAAAGCCCTTCTGTGACAGTTGCATGTGGAAGACTTGATGCAACAAACACTCATGCAGAATTAAGCAGATAGAGCCCGATTGCCATTTACTGTAGATCTCTTTATATTGTTCTATGAAGTATCTAGCTATAATTTGCTCCCATTTTAAGGTAAGAGGCCCATTATAGTGGTGTAATAAAACTTTGAACTTTGATGTCATACTCACCTGCTTGCATAGTTGATCTAAACTGCCTTGATAGGCCTGTATTATGATATATTTAACCATCATGAATAAGAACTTGTTCCGTCTGTAGCCCCACTGAAACTAGTTAGACTGTCTACAGAGTGCTACTTGAGGAAACTAAAGATAGCAAACTCTTTTTCCATAGTTCTGTTTACCTAGGAACATGTATGCTGAAAGTTGTAGCACAACAGAATTTACACTGATGATGGATTATTTATACCATGCTGTTCCTGTGTTTCCTCATCCTTCTTTGTGGTGGATTCCATTTTATCTTGTTCTAGTTAGTTTCCGTGATACTGGTTTTGATTTTGTTTTTATGGTGACATCATGTTAGATGTAGTTCTCCTATAATTTCACAGAACCTTGGTGGTGGAGGGTTATTTAAAAACGTTAAAATAGCTGGTCCCTCTACTACCTTCTTAAAAGCTTGTCCCCAAGTTAGTTCATGCCTTCCCCTTTTCCCCTTTTCCCCTTTTCCCCTTTTCCCCTTTTCCCCTTTTCCCCTTTTCCCCTTTTCCCCTTTTCCCCTTTTCCCCTTTTCCCCTTTTCCCCTTTTCCCCTTTTCCCCTTTTCCCCTTTTCCCCTTTTCCCCTTTTCCCCTTTTCCCCTTTTCCCCTTTTCCCCTTTTCCCCTTTTCCCCTTTTCCCCTTTTCCCCTTTTCCCCTTTTCCCCTTTTCCCCTTTTCCCCTTTTCCCCTTTTCCCCTTTTCCCCTTTTCCCCTTTTCCCCTTTTCCCCTTTTCCCCTTTTCCCCTTTTCCCCTTTTCCCCTTTTCCCCTTTTCCCCTTTTCCCCTTTTCCCCTTTTCCCCTTTTCCCCTTTTCCCCTTTTCCCCTTTTCCCCTTTTCCCCTTTTCCCCTTTTCCCCTTTTCCCCTTTTCCCCTTTTCCCCTTTTCCCCTTTTCCCCTTTTCCCCTTTTCCCCTTTTCCCCTTTTCCCCTTTTCCCCTTTTCCCCTTTTCCCCTTTTCCCCTTTTCCCCTTTTCCCCTTTTCCCCTTTTCCCCTTTTCCCCTTTTCCCCTTTTCCCCTTTTCCCCTTTTCCCCTTTTCCCCTTTTCCCCTTTTCCCCTTTTCCCCTTTTCCCCTTTTCCCCTTTTCCCCTTTTCCCCTTTTCCCCTTTTCCCCTTTTCCCCTTTTCCCCTTTTCCCCTTTTCCCCTTTTCCCCTTTTCCCCTTTTCCCCTTTTCCCCTTTTCCCCTTTTCCCCTTTTCCCCTTTTCCCCTTTTCCCCTTTTCCCCTTTTCCCCTTTTCCCCTTTTCCCCTTTTCCCCTTTTCCCCTTTTCCCCTTTTCCCCTTTTCCCCTTTTCCCCTTTTCCCCTTTTCCCCTTTTCCCCTTTTCCCCTTTTCCCCTTTTCCCCTTTTCCCCTTTTCCCCTTTTCCCCTTTTCCCCTTTTCCCCTTTTCCCCTTTTCCCCTTTTCCCCTTTTCCCCTTTTCCCCTTTTCCCCTTTTCCCCTTTTCCCCTTTTCCCCTTTTCCCCTTTTCCCCTTTTCCCCTTTTCCCCAAACTGAATTGCCTCCAATCTTGTATTAGTTGGGAGTCTGTTTTTAGAGGTAAGCACTTCAGAAGTTCTTGTGTTACTGGAGCACTGTAGTCCTACTGATTTTTCTTTCTTATTTTTTCTCTTTTTTTTTTTTAATTATTTTTTATTTTTCCTAATAGAACATAGACCTAATACAATACCTAAAAATGCAGACATCGGCTGGGATTTTCCAGACCTTGAATGTAGCAAGGTATTTATCTCCTGCTAATTTTAGCAGATTGAAAATTCCAGAAGTTATCCCAGATAAATATTATCTGCTTGTCCAGATTCCTAAATGCCTTTGAAGTCAAATTCTTTTTTCAAAAACTATTTAGGAACAAAGTTCCTACATGGCATTTAATTTACCTTTCCTTAATTATCCAGAAGTGTTATTTTAAAATGTAGATGTGGCTCAGTATTTGCTTAAACAAATTAACAAAGCCTGTAGCATAAACATGATTGCTACCAATGTAGCCTTAGTTAGAAGTGATCTGCAAAGGCCAAGATAATGCTTCTCTTGATCCCAGTGTAGCAGTGAACAGGATTTGTTATGATAAGAAACTAATAAGAAATTAAAATACAAAAGTGGCTGTGCCTTGATTCATAATATCACTGCTCTGCATTATTCTAGGAATGTTCATACCAGGCTTTAGATGTGATTTATAAGCTTTAATTAAATAAGTCTCTCGGAACTCCATGTTGGAAATCTAGGGTTAGTTCTAAAAATTAATTAACTGAAAAATAATTTAATAAAGGTTAATATGGGATAGGTTCTCCATTTTGCAGAAGAAGAAGCTACAGCTTTAAATGTTGCATTGATAGTAAAGGAAACATGAGAAATTGCTCAAGGTCGTTCAACAAGACCATGGAAGAGAACCTTTGGGAGCTGACTGCGTACAACAAGGTGTGCTCATGTTGGTTCTCACTCTTTGCCTTTTGTTGGCTTGAGAAAAGTTAACTGTAGAATATCTTTCCTCGGGAAGGTCTTTGTGAATATTTGAGGGATGTATTTGTGTGTGTGTGTATGTATGTTATATCTACCCAGATATAAAATTTTTTTTTTTTTTTTTTTTTAAAGTCAGCAGTAGCAGTAATACATTGTAATATTTGTTTAGGTCTTGGAGTGTGAGCTTCTTCTTAGGCTGTCAGAAGAAGATGAGGCTAGTGGTTGTGCCCTTCCCACTCCCATTAACACAGCTGTATGTGCTGTGCCTGTTGTATGTCACATCTTCCAGAGTTCATAGAGCAGTGGGGTGTGTGCTGTGTATCAGGTACTATGAATGGTGAGGTGTCCTTACCTGTCCAGGAGGGTGCCGTGGGGTAATAACAACCACATTTCGGACTTCGATCCAATTCTTACATATGTATCTTCTAATCTGGCCCTGGCTGTCTGGTATGCTGCTGTTCCTGTGGGGTAAAGTGTTACAAACTGACTTCATCCTGCTTGGCATTGTGAAAAGGCATAAAGGAGAGGCAATGAAGTTACCGAAGTTGTGCCCTGGATTGTCGGTGTTGCTGTTAGCGATGCTTATGTCAGCATTTTTGTGTCTCTGATCTAGATCTAAAGAAGATTCCTCATCCTTTAGAAGTAGCATGCTCACAATCTTCCTGGCCAATGATTCTTCTACAGCAAGCAGGACTTATTCCTCATTCTGAGAAGCCTTCATCTCTTCCTATGTCAGTGGCTACAAGGCCAAGAGCCAACTCACCACTGTCCCCACCAAAATCTCTCGGACTGGGGCCTTCCTTTCATCACGCACAAGAAGAAGAGCTTGCGAAAGTGGTGGAGCAGGACCCTATGCTGGAAGAACTATGTAAGCCTCTGTGCTGTAAGCTTTGCAATGTCACTCTGAATTCAGCACAACAAGCCCAGGCTCATTACCAGGTAAGGAGAGCAGCGGGAGGCACGGCTTCCAGGGCTGCTGCATCTGCAGCTTGTGTAGACATACCTGTGCCAACGTGTGCACTGCCAGTAGCGTTGCTGTGGTAGCACAGAGCTACGTGTGGGCTAAGCACCAGGACTAATTTAGCTTCTCGAGGGATTTTTGAGTGCTTTGTTGAGGTGGCTGCACCCCAGCAGCAGCGTTTGAGTTAGCTCATCCGAAGCTACCTCTACACCATCTGATGGACTGGAAGCTGTGGCTAGAACTGCTTTGTAGCCATATCTTCACCACACTTGGATTTGCCGTTCGTCCAGACATGCTGCAGTGCTTTCATTTAAGGTGTCATCACTGGAGCATGTTGTGAAAACCTTGTCCACAGGGGCAGAGAAGTGGTACCAAGATGGCATGGGTGAAAAGGCAGACACTCTTAATTTTCCTTTGTTTTATGTGATCTATTTTCCACCTGTACAGTCATCCAATAAAATAGGACTTCTGATTCCACAGATGTGATTTTGTAAGGCCTGGACAGATGTTTTCTGCTGGATCCAGCAGTGCACTTAGGAAAGGGAGCTGCTGTGGTGTTCATCACTGTCTCCTTTCCTGAGGTTATGCACACAACTGGTCTGCTGGTGGGGCCATTAATGGAAACTTTCCATCTGATTTGGACAGCATCAGCTGAGCCAGCTCAAACCAAATTAGTTTTGTTCATATTGGTCTGGTTGACTTCTCTGAAATAGGTTAGGGACTGTTCGCATATGACTCTTTGCTGGGAGATCAAATATGTCATAGTTTTATGTTACCCCATTTTACTAGTATGCTATCTTACTAGTGCTGTCTTTGTGTGGGATGTGGAGATAGTAACTTTCGCCACCAGCAAGTCCAAAAGGGTGCTTGTCCATATTCTCAGGAGACCAGACTCGGATCTCAGATTTGCTGCTGGCCCTGAAAAAGTGGTATCATGCCAGTGAAGGGGTAGGTTGAATTAGTGTTACACTTCAGTGTTTGATTTCTGCAGCATTTCTGCCATGAGGGGACAGAAGTGCGTTTGCAGTACGTAACTTGCATTTATGCGTATACCTTACTATATATCCACAATGCACAATACTCTCATGCAGTTCTATCAGGTTTTCAAAACACCAAAAAGAACAACAGTATATGTTTTCCAAGAGAAAATAAAATATGAAGCAGGGCTTTTTAGATTCAATCTCATATTTTAACTCACGCTTGCAACCTCATGAAGTGTGTGTGTGTGTTCAGACTTATCAAAAAGCTATGCAAAGCAGTTAGTGTTTCATGTTTAAAACACAAAATACTAGTTTTCTATGGAAACAGATTGGGGAACTAATTGTAAACTTACCGATTTGAGAAAATCGGTTGAAAATTAGGCCCAATCGTGCTAGGTGATGAACATTTTAGAGAAAGGAGGGGATGCCAGCGTTTTTAAAGTCCAAAGCTATTATTTTCTGAGTGACCACTCCTTTACCTGAGGTGCTATCTTCATGGCCACTTTGTCATTTCAGTCTCTGGATCCTTTTTCTTTCAGCGTGAGATACTATTATGAGGATGGCGATTAATTTGGGTTCTCTTTCCAGGGTAAAAACCACAGTAAGAAACTCCGGAATTACTATGCTGCCAACAGCTGTCCGGCACCTGCCAGAATGAGTAGTTCGGTTGAGCCCACCCCGCCTCAGGTTGTCTCCCTGCCAGCTCAGGTAAGGCATGGGGAGGTGACTGAGATCACGCTGATTACTTGTCACCTAACCCCCCAATAAAGGTAACTAGATCTCACTCGTTGAGGATTACTGCAGGAGTTGGGAAAGAATTTTCCTTGTGATGGCACAGGATGGTGGAAATGGCCTGTTGTGAGCTGTTTGCTTTCCTTTGAAGACGCAGATATTGATCTGCCCTTGCAGCAGAATATTGGACTTAAAATGTTCTATTTCTGCATGGCAAATACTTTGATTCCTAGGGAAGTCTGATGTGCTGCTGATTAGGGTTGTTTAAGAGCAGGTATAAAACAGCATTGCTGGAGCTGGATTTGGACACGAGGGTGTGGCATCTGCTCTGCACAATCATCCCTCCATTGTGTGAGGGAATCCTACATGGAAAAAGTGCTTAGGTGCTCCTACACCCATTGCCCAGGGCTGTTAGCTAATTCCTCTTTTGTTGCTCCTTTTGAAGTTCTCATTCCTGTGTGTAGGGTGAATGGATTGTTCCCTCAGTCATCCAGATTAATTCTGTCTCGGGCACATTAGAGGCAAAAGAGATGTTTTTTTCTTTCTTCTACAGTTCATCACTTCTGATTGTCATGGGACTTAACAGCGAACCTGGCTTTTGTATGTGACTGTGCAGGGAACCACAGCTGGGCTTCAGGGATGGAGGCTGTGCCTGTCATTTCCAAGAGCATAAGCCTCTGTTGTATCTAGAAAAACAAAGAGCATTTGTTCAGTGGCAAACTGTTATACCTGCTGTTGGAGCCGGCAGAGGGAGACTCCGTCCCATGTATAATAACTTTGTGGCTCACAGAACTGAATCGAGAGGGCATGGGTTCCAGTGCTAGGTAGTGGGACAAGGGTGCCATACCTGCTAGGGTGTCTGTTGCTTTTTTATTTATTATTTTTTAGTGGAGAAAATGATCCATGGCAATAAAAAGACCGCTCTGGGGCCATGTGACGATTGATGTTGTAACCTAGAAGTCAGAACTGTGTGTGTGTGTGTGTGTGTGTCTATAAGCTTGAACAGTATCATAGTAGAGGTGAAAGAAACTCAACTTGACAGGTGCTGCAGTGACATGGCTATGTGAATCACTGTGGCTGCACTGTTTACAAAGCACTTTTCTCTGGATGATACACACTGAGGAGACATGGTTGCTGCCTTAATTGGTGTGTGGTCTGACCAGACAGGCAAAGTATCCTTCATATGGCAGGAGCTACTCCTGTGAGGCTCGGTCCTTCCTTTGAAGTCTTGATCCAGGTGTCTTCCTACCTGAAGGGTAAGGATCAGAGGTTTGACAGCTCTGCTATTGTTTTCTTTTTTTTTTTTTTTTTTTTAAATCTCTTAGTGTGGTCAGGGAGCTGTGTAGAAACAGGGTACTGTGGAGAGACTAGGTATGCTGTGAACAGGAGAGAGGAGCACCTTCACCTCTCAGTGGGTCTTCCTCAGTGTGAAAGTCACTGCTCATCAGCTCCTAGCAGTCAGGAGTAGAGGAGTTAAGTCACTGCTGTGAAGTGAATGAGCCTCTGTGGCTGTTGCAGTGGTACAGTGTTTGTTCACATTGCTTTCCTCTCCATCTGAGGCCAGGGATTTGCCTGGATCTCAAGGAATTTGCAGATTCTCAGAAGCTGAGGCAGGGAAAATGAGAACAGTTTGGGGAACACTTGAGAGTCTCCTAATCCATATGTGCTAATTCCAGCTCTCTTGCTGCCTGATGAAAACGATACTGGTCTAAGTCCCTGTGATTCAAATATTTCAACAATTTAACCTTCTGTTTCACATGCTGTCTCTCCCTTTCCTGCTAGATGGGATCCAGTAAACCAGGTGGCCGAGTGATCTTGGCCACAGAGAATGATTACTGCAAGCTTTGTGATGCCTCGTTTAGTTCTCCAGCTGTGGCACAGGCTCACTACCAAGGGAAAAATCATGCCAAACGGCTGCGTCTTGCAGAAGCACAGAATAACTCATTCTCGTAGGTATTGTTCAACTTCACGCTCAGGCTGAAAGTATGTGGCAGTGTATCTGACAGTCTTTTTCTCAGAAAACTCTGAATTGCAGCTATTCATATTTGTTTAATCTTCAGGGATGCATCAGAACTAGGCAAACGAAGGGCAAGGAAAGAAGGGAATGAATATAAGATGATGCAGAACAGAAGAAATATGTATACAGTCCAAAACAACACAGGTAACTGGGAGCTTGCATCTGTTCTATAGTTGGTATAATAATGAATAATAAACAGACTTGGTTTTCTTCTGTTTCTGAAGTCTGTTTTAGCAGAGACAGGTTGTGAAAGGAGCTGGTCCTAGCTCTGCTGATCCTTCATATCTGCATGTTTTTCCCAGCTGCTAAAGTTGCTTTGTTTTGTCAGCCTGCTTGTTAGTTCGGTTTCTCAGTTTGTAACTTAATTTACCATCTGTCTGTCTCTAAGGCTGCTTTAAGTGGTGACAGTTTTCCTGCTTTATTTTCTTGGCAAGTGCCCAGGTGCTTTGACTCCTACTGTAGCACATCAACCTGTACTTGCACTCCCATGACCAGAATGAGAGAGCATGTTAGCCTCCCTCTAAGACCATCTGTTCCTAGAGTCCTTCCTCAGGTGTTAGATACTAACTTTGTCTCTTTACTGTGATTTAAAATGTATTTTACAGTGTCCAGCCCAGCATCTGTTTCTCTTTTTCATTTTAAGTTGTGTTATGAGCTGAAACCCTGTGTATTAGCTGAAACCCCGATTACTGGTGAAGCTTGGTTTAATTGTGTCTTTCAAACTACTGTCATGTGGAAAAGATAAATATTTTAAAGTTCTATTCCGTATAATTTGGGGATCATTTTAAACTGAGGCAGTTTATTCTAGTCAAAAGACTGTTCTAGTTCTGGAATTGGAAGGTTAAGGAAAAAAAAGGAAAGAATTGATTCATCACTTTAAATGATTAGACTCCTAATTTTCAAAGCCCTATTGATTCTTAATAAGACTGGGGCCCTAAGCCCACTGCTACTGCTTTAGAAAATACCAGCAGATACTGCTCCCCCTTGTGCTATACCCCTGTAAATCTGGATCTCAGCAGAGGTCATGTGGGAAGGTAAGGTTCAGACTCTGCTCAGTTAAAGAAGCTAATCTTTGGCCGATTTTTAATCATTAATCGGGCTTAGAAGTTGTCCCTGAGCTGCCTCAAGCTTTTTTTTCTTATAGATAAAACAGGCTTTTCTGTTGACTCCTCAGGTCCCTACTTCAATCCCCGCTCACGGCAGAGGATTCCTCGGGATCTGGCCATGTGCGTCACTCCCAGTGGCCAGTTCTACTGCTCCATGTGCAACGCCGGGGCCAGCGAGGAGATGGAGTTCAGACAGCACTTAGAAAGCAAACAGCATAAAAGCAAGGTGTCCGAACAGCGCTATAGGAACGAGATGGAGAACCTAGGCTATGTACAATGATGCGCCACCCTTGGTAGTAGTTTGCAAATAGAGCAGCTTGTCTCTCGCCTGCTGTTTGCCACATGCCCTGCTTTGTGCTCCATTTGATAGGAGTATGCTCTCGAGCTATACATGTAACACCTGCAAACTTAACGGTATGGTTAGATTTTTTTTCTATCATAGTTGGCAGGATGACGCTGTGCAGGACATGAAGTGTTTTTGATGTTTGTTTGCTAATTATCTAAGGCTCTTCATTGTATTGAGTGGCGGGGAGGACTCTCTCTTCTCCCCAGCCTTCTGCATGAATATGCAAAGCCCAAGAAGTGCTGGGAACTTCTGTGGTTCTACCACACAGGTGGGCCACGTGCAAAGCCCTCTCCTCTCTTTGCACGCTGCAGAGCAGTGCTCCAGAATGCTTCGCTACAGCAGACTGAATCTGGGCAGCTTGTAAAAGAGGGGCAGGAATGGGGTGTGAATTAGGTGGTGTACTTGTCCACAAATTGCTACTTGTGGCCCCCATTACAGCCCAGAGTAGGTTCCTTCCACATCCTTGTAGAAAGGCTGTGCATGTCTTCTCCTTGGAGGGTCTTGTGTATTCAGAAATACTCTCTTCTACCAGTTTACAATGAAAGAAGATTCTCAGTGTTGTTGGTTGGGCACCTTAATGCATCAAGGGTGTAGCTCATCTTCCTGAAGAGAAACTGTGGGGATCTCAGTGGCTTAATGAAGTGAATCAGAAAGCAGACTTGCTCAGATAAGATGTGCTCTGCTCTGATTCTGCCTTAGACTGAGTAGGGTTGAGAATAGGTTGGAAGGAGCTGTCAGCTGTAATTTCTTTGCACACTGATGTAGAAGAGAGCAAGTGTTGGTCTCTGGCCTGCAGCTGTATTGCCCTGGGGGAGCAGGGCTGCCTGGACCTTGGGGAGCAGATACCGGTGTGTCCCACTTCCATGTCATTCCCTGGACAAAGCCCAGTGGGTGTTACAGAGGAGAGCTGAAATGCTCCTTTGGACTAGGGCTACCAATATTGGATGAATTTTTTCCCCTCTTTCTTTTCCCATCTCAGGATGGGTTTTAATTCCATTCCTTGATGTGAACTTCACTGTTTTAGGGACCATCAAAAATCTGAAGTTAGGTAGGATGTAAACGTCAGGGGTGATGATTGAGTAACATCTTTTTGGTCATGCAGAAGTATTTGGGAAACTTGTTAAGCAACTTTGTAAGTGTAGACAAACCCAAAGGGTATATGTCTGTTTTGTTTTTCCTTAGTAAAAGTAGAAAGGGGATAAAGAGCAGAATTAGGGCTGATGTTTATTTTTCTGTGCACTTGGGTAGATGTGAGGAGCTGTGATTGGAATCCAGTTCACAGTGTTTCTAAAACATTGGCTCCAGTTGCAAGTGCAGCCTGTAGGTAGCCTCCATTGGACCTGATTCACCACTGTGCTGCTACTGCTGTACGCTAGTATAGCTTCATTGACTTCAGTGGCAGGTGCAGAGGGGGTAAAGGAAGCACCGTGGCTTGTCTCTCACTCCTCTTTAGGCAGTACGTTGAATTAGATGCAGCTTCATTGGTTTCAGTAGCATTTTACCAGGGATAAATTTTACCTAGTGCATCAGGTTGAAGATGGCTCCCCCACCCCCTTTTTTTGCCATTCTGATCCTGCCTCTTGCATTCCAGAAGGACTTTTTGCTTGCCTTAAAAAATTTAAAATGAGTAAACTAACAAAAAATCCAGATAGTTTTTTATTTGTCTTTCTTGTCCACCTCAAAAAGGTTTGTTGCACTTGGCTGCTTCTCAGAAATCAAGTGTGGTTATCTTTAGCTACCTGAGCATCAGGTAGCCATACAACCTTAACACAACCTTCCTAAATCCAGGTAAGGTGAGCTTTTGCACAGTGGTCGAAAGCAACCCCCCACATCATTCGGTGCTGATTCTTGTCCTGCAGTACAGGCAGAGCAATGGATATCCTCTTGAATGGAATTCCCTCCCCTCCTTTGTGCTAAGCCCAAATAAATAGGGTTTGTGCACTGGAGTACGTAGGAAGGTAGGACAAGTGCCCAGGTTGTAAAGCACTGACTGAGCAGTTTTGACAGCCTGTAAGTCTGTTTCTTCCATGCTTTCCTGCCCCTGGCTTACCCTCTGTGCAGCCTTGAAGAACATTCCCCTTGCAAAAATCTCTCAGCAGCCTTTTCCCCTCATCTTTTTCAGTCAAATAAGGGCTCTGGTTTTCTCTGTGTTCTGTCTTTTGTTGTGCTAGCCTGACACCACTGGGCAGGAACAAAGGGAGTTGGATGATCCTCACCACAATGCGCTTTACCAGAGTGGGCCCCGCGTTATGGTTAAACATCCCTCTTGCTGTAAATTCAAGTGTGGCATTTCGAACAGACTGCTGTTAGTAGCGGAAAAACAACATATTGTGAAATACAAGCAGGAGGAGCTATAGGTACTGGTGTTGTCTAGCTTATTGCTAGGGCCAAGAAGGCATTTTTATCTGCTTTCACATGTCCTGAAAATCAGCTGTTCACCACTTTGCTTTGGTTGCCACTCTTGCTCCCAGCCCAGCGATCTGTTCCTCATTTGGAATTTTCAGTGACTGCTGGAGGTGTCAAAACTCAGTTTGCACCATGTGCTGTTACCCCCTGGTAAGAGCTGCTGCAAACGTGCCACAGCACACCACTGTGTTTGGGAGGGGGTGCGAGGGAGGTGCAGGGGGCTGTTCCTGCGGGCTCCTCTCTGTGTGGGCAGAGTCTGGTTTTGAGGAATGGCTTGAGCCTTTCCAGAACAGGGAGGCCTGTATCTGCTTTATTTTGTTCAAGGGAGTACAACAAGTGAATGTCATCATCCTGAGAATTTCTAAGTGGTGGGTTGCAGGTATAAAGCAGACAGTAGGACTCAGACAGCAAGAGCAGGACAGGTTTCCTACATGGGAGGAAAGATATTTCTTGCTGGGATAAGCAGCTGAGACTCACTTTGCCCCAGTGCTCTGTTGTGACCCTTCTCTACAAGTGACCAAAGCTTTCCTCTCCCACTTCAGCATTGCTTAACGGTTTGTGATCTTCCCACTCTCCCTCCAGCACAGAAAACTGTTGACTGCAAAGAGGAAACACCCCACCTCACTAATATCATTAGGGCTCAGGCCAATCCAAAGTCATACTTGTCAGCATGAGAAACTGTGTGGATCCTGATGTTGGTTGTTTTGTTTTGTTTTGTTTTTGTGAAAGCTGTTCTCCAAATCACCGTTCAAAACACATATTGAAAACATGTCATGGCCAAGCGCTATTTGACATAGATGGGCTGGGGAGAATTCCATACAGCTGTAGTACCATTTTCCAGACCCAATGAATCTTTTTCTCATGTTAAACAAAGTACCAAACCCAAGAAACAGGACTTCTGTGAAGTTATCACATTGGCCAGTAGGTTAATGACCTTTGCTGCTAGAAGTAAAATATAAATCAATGTGTTCATATTTATTTTACTTTTCTGACCACTAATTGATTTGTTAATATTTAAGGCATTATTCTGTAAGTTGTTTTTGTTTAAATAAAAAACCTCTACATCGCACTTTGCTTTTGCATCAGAAAAGGTATTTATTATATTTGTGAAAATGTTTTCCCTCCCACATATGTATCGTTTTCTTTCCCTTGAAGCAAGGAAAAAGAAAATAAAATAAAAAAAACAAATAAACCCACCCCAAAAAAGCAACAACAAAAAAACCCCAAATCCAACCAGTGAGTCATCTTTGTTTCTTTTCAAGTCAAACAAAATGGGGATTTCCTTGCAACTTGCTCTTAAATGTCCATTTCTAATATTTTTTTTTTTTTCCTCCAATGGTTCCTTTGGTAACTTGGGATGATATTTTTAGAGACACATGAAGTTCGTGCTACATTTAAGCATTTCTTTTAAGGCAAGGAAGTAAACTATGTGGAAATCATGTATTTGTGAGTAGTACGAAAATAATGCTATTTTGTTTGTATTAAGCATTAGCTGTTAATTTTGTATTCTGCACTAATGAGTAAATGTGTTATAATCTTGCCTAACTTTGGTCTATTTTTGAATTTTTGCTTTTTTTTATGTACATCAAAAGGAACCCTGAAGACTTCTGTGGCGTTGCTTAGGATGGTCATCAGTGTCACAAAATGCAGATTTTTTTTTTTTTTCTCTGTAAAGCTTCTTGTCTCTTTTCCTTTCCTAGATGCCCATTATAGGGTATTAGAAGGGAAAGCTATTGCCATAAGCGTGGATTCATATTTTAGCTTACTAATGCATGATATCCTTTTGCTATGTTACTTAAGCAATACTCTCACTGTAACCAATGGGAATCTTGCCCAAGTCAGGAGTAGATTAAATACCTGAGCTAAATTTATTATGTTGGCTAGGGCCAGGCAAGGTACATTGTTAAAATTTGTCTTTTACTCCTATGTTTGGGTTACAACACTTAAGGTTTTGCTTTCTGAGGAATATGCGTCTGGTTCTATAAGGATTTGGTCCTGCTCCAGCTAAACTAGTCTGAAGTACTTTGACTTTAGTTGAGTAGGAGCAAGCCTTGAAACCATTCAGGAATTTCATACTGCTGATGTTTTCTCATATATGTGTATTTTGTTTTGTGTTTTGTTTTTTTTTGTTTGTTTTTTTGTTTTGGTTTGGTTTTTTTTGTTTTTTAATTTTACAACCATATATACAAGGATGCTCTGGATGAGATTGACACCTGTTGCTGATTATCAAAAAACAAACGGTGTGGTTGCCAAAGGATTAGCAGATAACAGAAGTGTGGACCTAGTTTCTTTGAACTTAGTGGCTAAGCTCCCACTGTTTTGAGCTGGGCTGGCTTCTTTGCCATCTGCATAAATTTGGAAGTGAAAAAATCTACTTTCAAATAAATGTGGTCAAAAAGTGGCTCTGGGAATCTCTTCTTTTAAAAAAAATGTCTCACAACTAAAATTGTATCTTTTTATCTGAAATATCTGCAGGTCTAGGCAGGACTGCGGGTTTTTAAAAATAAAATCAGTTTTTCAGTCTGTTTTGCAGGAAAAAAATTACTTGATTTCATTTTCTTCTGCATTTGTCCAGCAACATCATTTACAAGTGCTTTGAATGTGTTTCATCTGGAGCCTTCTTGTCAGGTTGGTTTTGTACATTTGTCCTTATTTTCTTTATATTGTACTGACCCCCGTGAGGGAATAGTTGATGAAATTTTTTTTTTCTTTTTCTATTTTTCTTCTTCAGTATACAATAAATCATCTTGTTCTTATCATTGTACAGCCTTAGTGTTTGGTATTATTACTGCTTACGATAAGGGCCGGACTATGCATGACTGAATTGATTTTAGCTGAGCATTAAGTGCAACTACATGAGTAATATGTTTTAATACATTGATAAAGGAGTATAGGCCAGTGTACAGTTTGTTACTCTGGAGGGGGGTCAGTGTACTTCAACTATTACCGAAAGCCAGCTGAGTTCTCCCTCTGAGCTGTCTTGGCTTTAGGAGGGGTTGGGAGTGCTCAGCATCTGACAGGATGGGAACCAGAAGGTACGGGAAGGTCTCTGTTCCTGGCTGCGCTTTCCCCTCGCGCAGACATCACGAGCTCTGCAACAGCCCCAGGCTGAACCACAGGCTGACTTTCAACTCTCACTGTAAAAAGGTGGGGACAAGCTGAGCCTGATATGTACATTTGCACATTTTTTACCAGTGTGCTCTTTCCCTCTTTCATTACTTGAGGACTCCAGGAGAGCATATGCTTATGTAGCTTAAATGACTTTCTAAACAGTAAGGACATTCCAAACTGGAGCCTTGATGCAGAGAAAATACAGGGTTTGTTGGGTTCAGCTCAGGTAAGAGAAAAACGTTTCCCTTCCTTGTTGCTGCAGCCATGCTGTTAGTGCAGTGAGCTGTTGACCTCAGGGGCAGCATCCTGGTGGCACACACGAGCCATGCAGGGTGTGCAACTGCTGCCGAGGCGCAGCTCTGAGTGTATAAGCAACTGTGAGCAGGAATGTGTCCCTGCGTTCCCCCGTCCTCTGTTTTTCAAGGTATTGGACCATTCCAGAGAATAGTGACGCTGTGGTAGAATTACTGATTTACCATTTTGTTGGGCTGAGAGCTGCCTCAGTGCTTAGGTGACTTTTGTGCTAACAGTGATATGCAGGAGGCTATATGTGTTCTCATTTATAGTTAATAGAGTCATAAAAACTTGTGACTATAGCTTAATGTTAAATCTCACCCCAGGCCTTCATTGTCTTATGCTCATGAAGACTGCGTTACTTTCAGTCATCCCAGGAACCAGGGAGGAAAGAACCTCTACAGAGCAGCGTGTCCCTATTATTGGATGTTAAAGCACTGCCTTTTTAATACTTACATGTGGTCATTGTATTCTATATTAATTCTGTAGCAATTTGGTACAGCCAAACCATAGTGACACATAGATACCAGCACAACCTAATTCAGTGTCACAGGCATTTGTTAAATTAGGTAGCAAATAAAATAGTATAAAAGATAAATGAAAATCTAAGACTAATTGTATGATTTGAAAGCATAAATAGCCCTCCTTCGCATCTCCAATTACCCTGGTGCCTAAGGATCTCATTTCATTGTCTTGCAACATTTTACAGCCAAGGAAGTAAAGTTTGGGAAAAAATACATGATTTTCCCACAGGTTCTATGGCTAAAAAGGAAGACTGAACCCGAGGCTGTTACTAGGCTGCTGATCCTGCCATATCTCCATTCAGCCTCCTTGTTCACAGGTTCATGAAAATGACTGGATCTTAAAAACAAATTGATTAATAATTGTTGGATTTTCATTGTTTATATAATGGCTTTACAGTGCATTAGGAAATGGACTTTAGCACATAGTTTAAAACTAATGAAGCTTGGCAGAGATCTCTCAATAGTGCTTCTGCCATTAAATCTTAGTGGAGAGGTAGGAAAAACAACAGGTTTTAGGAGGATTGTAGAGGGTACATGCTTGCAAGTGCAGGTTACGGAGGCTCTTCTGTATTAATTTCTGTCTACTTCACATAAATTCTCTTTATTCCTACTTCTAGTTCTCCTAAAGCATTTGGATTGAATGCTGCTTATCTATTTTGGAATAGCAATGAGCTGCTGTAACAGATAATACATAGAATTCATCAGCCTAATCCTTCAGTGAACAACACACTTTCAATTGGTCTTATTCTGCTGGGCTTGCTTCACATCTCTACCTGCATGAAACAAGAGCAGATCTGTTTTAAGTCGGTGGAATTACACAAGTGTAAAGAGAGATAGGAAGATTATCCACAGTGTATTATCTGAGACTAGAGAGTGTCTTTGGCAGGTGTTTGCTGTACGTATAAAGATGTTAAAAAAGTATTAATCTAAGGCTTGTTTCTCAATATCAAGGTACAAAGAGGTACTGTGAATGAAAGAACAAGGTATAGAGTTATAAGAAGAAATGGACGCAGTTGCCTGATAAACTAAATTTGGTGCTTCTGTGGAATTTTATGCAAGAATGCAGCATTTCCTGAAAAAGCCAGCCTGTACTTAATTAAATGCAATGAGACCAATAGCGTGAAAAACACTACATGAGCATGTGTATTACCCTGAGTTTTAAAAGATGAAACATAGTTATGAAAAAACCTGTGAAAAGTGAAATGGCAAAATCTCCATGCACCAGAAGAGATGATGATGTATGGGTTAACACCTGATATTTTGGGGAGTCTGTGAAGAATACTTCAGGCTTAAGGGATTTGTGAAAAACAGCAGCAGGATGCCAAAAATTATTGCAGCTGACTAGAGAGTTTGGGAGCTAACCTAGATGTCACTTATGACAATGGCTCATTTTTGCTCTGCATGAACTTGTATGGGTGAGGATTGTTTCAGCAAAGAGTGGAAGCTCCTGTGCGAGGCAGGGCTGGCTGTAGTCTCACTAGCCTTGAGGGATTTGTTCTTCTCTGCTTTGACCTGCCATCTGTGAGTGTGCATGCATGTGAAGCAGTTTCTGTGAGGACTCTTCTTCCTTGATATTATCCTCTGTTTGTAAGAGATCATTTTCCAGTAGCTCCTTATTGTAGCTACCTCTAATACTGTTCACAGTATCTCAGCAGCAGCATGTTGGACTTAATTAGGAAATGGCCAAACTACCAAATATGTAGGAGTCTTAGACAAGTAGCTTCTGTTTGTAAAAGCTGGTGAGCACCTGCTACTCATGTAACAGTGATGCTCAGAGCATATTTGGATTAGCAAATCCAAATTCAGACAGAGAAACAATGCAATTAATCTCCAGGCTTTTGCATTTATTTATGTTAGGTGGGATTATGGGCTGCTGTACATTCTGCTGGTCTGTCTAGTAGCTGGCATCAAGGTACCCAGGCACGAAAGCTGGATGCTTCTCATGCCTCCTCTTATGACTGATCTCAGTGACTGTGTCTTTGAGGGTCTGTTTTTGATTAGTCTATCTTTGGTTTACCTTGTCACACAGTCACAGGAATGTAATTAATAGGACAGCTTTTATAATGTTTGTTTAACAACTTTGATTTAGAGTCTGTTTACTTGTGTCAAGCACAGATTTTTATTACGCAAAACCCAACTAATTTCTAATGAATGTTATTGAAAAGTACAAAGAAAAGTGATAACAGAAGAATATAAATAAGAATAAGACAGGTGTTTCAAGGTTGCAGTGACCCCAGGCACGCAAAACTGCGGAGGTAGAAATGGGAGGCAGCAGTGGATAGTACAAGTCTGTCCTTTGCCAATCCCACAGTCCCAAGACACATGCTGGATGTTCAGCTGCCATATTTTCAATTATACCCTTGAAATAATGTCTGATAAAATCTGAGCTGTACTGCTGACCAGTTGTACTAGCCTTCCCTTGAGGCTGATCTGCTGCAGACCCTGACAACAGGCAGGATGCAGAAGGCTCGGCGGTCATTACAGACTGTGCCCTGCCCTGCCCTCTCCTCCAACACAGGCAAAACGCATCAGGCCTGGGTTAAGCCCTTGTCCCTGTGGTAGGCTGTGCGTTAGCCTGATACCAGCACAGAAGACATGACAACAGTTGTTAAAACGTAAGATACAGCCACCTACCTGAAGCTTTAAAGGAAATGTTGGAGGTTGCGGAGGAGCAGAGTATGAAGAGAGGCACTAGAAGTTCAAAGTGGCTGTGGACACGTGAAGCAGTATCTCTCCTCTTAACAGGTTTCTTGGCAGAGAGACTGTTACATCAGCGCAGAGTCTTTTCATACATTGCCTAATGTCTAATACGTGGGACAGATTTCTGAAGACACATTGTTAATCTAGATTAGCGTTGATCTTCACACAGCTTCTCACAGCTGCTAAGAAATGCAAGGATGGATCAGACCACAGATATATGTATATATGCACTGGGTATATATTAGGACGTAATAAGCTTCCAAGGGAGTTCTTAATTTGGGTACAGACTATATATGTTAATTATATGGCAACAGCTTTGACAATTAGCATGCATACTTTTAACTTGCATTTCTGATTGTGGTAACAAAGCCAGCATTGCCTTCTCCTCTCACTAACTTCAAAGGCATTGTCTTGATTTAAGAAATGGTGTCCTAAAGCTGTTATGAGAAAGTGAAGCTGTGCTACTGTCAGGCTGCCCTCTTAACAAACTGTATGGTAAACGGATGAGCAGCCAAGCTCTCTGAAATGGTTCATGAGAGCTTTGAGGTTACAAAATGCCAGCCAGCATTTATTGTCATTGGCATACAACATAATATTCCCACGGTGAGTATAGCACAGCTCTTCCAAATCAGAGCGTGTTTACCTAAAATAGCAGGACCCTAAGATACATCTTGGGTCCAGATCATCAGCAGTAATACTTAAAAGAGAACATAATGTACAGGCCCCAGAGGGAAAATTAATAATTGGTGGAAGAAACGAGAATAGAAACAGAGAGACAGAAAATTTGAAGTTCCCTTGGGTGATCCCACCAATCATTGGATTCAAGACTGACATAGGTCATGGGTAACATTTAAAAACATTTGGCACCTTAATCTGCTTGGGTGTTTTCATAAGCCTCAGAAGACATTTTAAATTGCTGTCATGTTTTTGTAAATCTTATTGCAAGCCTTCTTTGAAAAAAAGGCTTAAAACACCAAGTGAGTTAGTCTTTTACAAAATTTACCCCTACAAGTAGAGTCTTTAGCATGTGCTTGTGCAACTGCACTGGGTGCAGCTGTAGCCTTTGAGCCTAGCTGGAGCTATCCAGGACAAGTCCCTGCACAGAGCTGGCGTTGCCTGAACTGCCTACATCAAA